CCTGTGAGCTATAATCTCCAGCTATTCAAGTGTATGCAGTGGGTACGGTGAATGTAGGAAGGACATTTTCTTTTTAAAGAATAATTTTTTCAGTCATTTCACCCCAAGCAAGGCTAGGTCAGTAATACGCCTGGGGCTGCTGAGAGTAAAAAAAAATGAGAAGACTTTAGTGTGGAGAAATGACAATAAAAGACCAGATTTCCAGAAGATGACGATTGATGTTACATTTAATTTTTTAAAGGTCGGAAGTGACAGGGAAGCAAGAAATCAGAAAAGAGTTCACAAAAAAAAAGAATCTATTACTTGGGCTACATCTAGCAGTAAGACGATGAGACCTAAATGCCAATCTAGTAAGACGTTTAATTTCATGCTTTCGTGATACCAAATGATGGCTCATTACAAAAATTGCCATGAAAATATTTACAGAAACGAGAGGGGGGGCTATGTCACGGCGATGGGAAAGTAACTGGAATCAAGATGCGAGGTCAGATCCGAAAACATTACAGAACCTTCTTTGAATTTTGTCAAGAATCTCGAGATTGCACCAGACCAGACATGGCAGCAATATTCAATGCGTGGAAGAATGTTATCTAATTACAGTTAAATCTGATAATTAGATACCCACCCCCAGGTCTGGAAAGCAACAAAGATATAGGGTTTTTCTAAACTGAACTATTCAATTTTATCGGATAGGATATTTGCTGTATGAGGCGGGGGAGTCACACGTTATTACAGTGAAACATCGTACCTTTATGAATAAACAAACTGGGAATCTTTTGCATTATTTACATTATTCATTACTCTTCTTCATTGCCATATTCACAACCTTTCGGACGTTGTACGCCCCGGCCTTCTTTAGGTAATTGGAATTACGATAAGAACCCTTTATTTCTTTCACCGCGGTAGATTGTTCTAGTTCCACGTGCCATGCCTCTTCCGTCTCAGTTGTTTCCCTTTAACTCAACTCTCCAAGTTTTTGGTCTACCACTGCTGCAACCTGGTACTGAACTCACAACGCTTTGGCTCTAGTCACTGGATCTAACCAACGTCTTTATCCACTGGGCCATGTTTGTCCTTGAATTTGTGCCCTAAATCTTACAATATTTCACTACCCTTTTCAAATCATTTATTGTCACAGTGTGGGATATCTGATAAAAAAAGTGATGGAAACAATAAGACTAAGAAAAAGACTATAAATGAAATCGGCTAGATTATATAAAAAATAAGTAAATAAATCCAAATTTCCCAGCATCCCTCGTTCCTGCGCATGTGTAGTCGCACCAACATAATATTTTTTTCTCCGATAAAGTCCTAAAAGACAAAACGCATTACACGAAAATCTTTTTCGACATTACATACATTTTTCCCCCAATATTGTTCTTGATACACACAAATTTATATATCGTTATCTCATATATATGTATGCATATAATAAAACATATTTCAACCTGTAGATATTGCCATGATAGAGTTTAAACATCGACGTTAGCCGTGAATATGTTAATAATCGTAATCATTAATTTTCCAAACACATGCAATAATTTTGTGAGTATTGTGACCATGTTTTTTGCCTTGCGTTTTATTTTATTCATTTCCTCCTAGGCAAGACGATAATGCCACTAGGATTCAAAGGTCACAGGAATAAACGAGGCTGAGAACAATTTAGTGAGGATAAGTGAGGAAGGGCCAATAAAAGAGAAGGGTTCATGAAGACAGACGTTATATTTAAATTTTAAAATATTCTACAGTGTAACCCGGATATAAGAGAGTTGTTGGGACCGGAGAAGTCTCTTATATTCGGGTTTCTCTTATATCCGGGTTTGGTCTATTTTATATACATTAACACAGGCTCTAATTTGGGACTAGAGAAAATCTCTCTTATATCCGGGTTTCTCTTATATCCGGGTTTCTCTTATATCCGGGTCTCTTATATCCGGGTTACACTGTAGTAAGAAATCGTAAATAAGTTCTGTTGGTTTCGATTTCTCCCTCCCCTTTTTGTCGACAGAAGTACACATATGCAGGCTGGTATTTTTTCATAGCCAATAAAATAGGCTGGTGATCGGTTTCATCTGACTCAGTCCCGGTTTGTGTTGTCTTGAAATCAGAATGCTACGTTCGTTTGTCCGAACTTTCCCTTGTTTTTCAACCCTAATTCTTAGTTTTTGAACTTTTGTCATATTATTCTTCCTTCACCTGATTACTATTGATCTGTCTTGCATATATTGTTTGTTTGCTTTGTATTGATATTTTTCCATGATCTTTTCTATTTTTTTTTCTTGTTATTGCTTATTGCAAACTTTGTCAATTCTGTTTGTCGGACAATTCTCTTACTTACTTTACATTTGACCATGGCTACTCAAACCACAACCTCCACAGGCGAGAAGTGCGAGAGAAGCAACTATTAGAATGAAATATCTCCATTGTTAGAAAACAGGCATAGTATCATATTTGGTCCATTTTGGTTGTGTCGTATTGCTTCAGCAAGTTTGCTTCCATTTTGAAATTAACGGCATCCCCTTATATCCTTGTAAAAATATCCATTTTCATCACCAACCACTAATCCTTCCTGAATTGTTTATGGCTTCCGTCAAATCATGGGGGAGTAAATTTTCTAAGGTTAGACATCACCAAGCTGTTACGAATGGTGTTAAAATGACTTGAATTCAGCTTTGGAGTTAATTCTTCAGCCGTGACAACAATATTTCTCTTGCATTCCAACAACAAAAGCCGGTTATCATTAAACTCAACAGGAAGAATTGTCCACAGCGCAACACTTAAGTTAAAGCAAACTTTTCTAAACTTTTCATATCATCTTTGGCATTTTCTTCCATTTGTAGAATCCATCCCTTAAACACCAGGGATACTTTAAGATTCTTCTACAGCATAATTGCCTTTTCTGAACTTATAGAGAATTTAATGTCGTTCATGCTCTATAAATACAGTCATCTTTGGGATTACAAGGTCAGAAGTAAAGTTGCCGTGGTTTCTTAATGGAGTTAGTGTTTTACAAACCAGAGAACTTAGTTAAATGGTACCTTGACAATGTAACTTTCATGTTTAAAAATATATGAGCACCTACATCTATGCGTAAGTTAAATATTGCCTCAAGTGTAAACTAGACCATCGATTACCTTTTACTTCAAGAATTTTCATGTAGATATTTTAGTGTATCGAAAATATCATCGAATTTATCGTTACCATGTTTGGGATATTAGATGTGGCATTCTATAGCATACATGGTAATTGTTTAAACATTTCAGAATAGAGAAAGTATGCAAGTCTTTGCTATTAGATTTTGGAGATTACTTATAGGATAAATTGCTAGCGTCTATTGTTATTAGGTTGGTGCAAAAATAATGTCGTTTTTTGACGTTCAACTTAACGTCAAAAAACATTATTTTTGCACCAACCTAATATTATTTACGTTTGGATTCCAATTTTGGCGGGCCAGGACAATTACAGAAAATCAACCCGGGACATTCATATTCATACGATCGATTTGCTTTTAATATTCAAGAAATTTCCTCCTTTTAATTTAATTTCGTTTGTTAAGATTATAAGACACGGTGTTTCTTTATTGAAAATTATCTAAAAAATAAGTTCATCCATTCCTTTTTTTCTAACCACCCCGTCTATTTTTAACTCAGCGTTTGGAATTGTAGAATGCTGAAAAATATTCAATATATCGTTATCAGATTTTGGACATGAATGAGCTAATAGTATGTACTGTTATCATTGAAGAATTTTTGAATAGCAGAGATAATCTATCTGTCGCTAGCAGATCTTCGTCCTAAGAAGGGTCTGTAGTGTAATCAATATTGACCTGGCATCTTCAGTCACTTTCTCACCGACGTGACGTGGCTTTCCTCTCTTTTTTTACAAATATTTCCACGGCAACTTCTTTGACGAGCTTTTTTTCCATGGAGCCTCAACTGCATGAATTTAAACGTGCTACTAGATAAGCCTAAGAGTTTACTAAATAGCTTAACGCAACCGATACTTATACTCCAAGAGTTTCTTTTCTCGCACTTCCAGCTTGTGTAACTTCCTTCAGATTTCTTGCTTCCCTGTTAACTACAAACTTAAAAAATATAACTGCAACGTTAATCACCATCGTCTGTCTTCTTGAATCCCGTTCATCTTTTGTCCTTTCCTCAATCTTCCCTATACCCAGTCTTTTCTCTCTCTTTTACTCCCTGTAACATCCCCGCCTTGCTTGGGGTGAAGTTATTATATATATATATATATATATATATATATATATATATATATATATATAGGATTTTTGCGTTTTTTCAGAGAATATTTGTCTTCTATAGACACTGCCGTATCTCATGTCTTTAAAGAAATCTTGAATAAACCATTTAATTCGTCCTCGTGTAATATATTCTTGTAGTTTTTTACCTTTTGTCACGTTCGATGGATATTCTTAATAATTGTTAAATTTTTTTTAGAGATAGACTCTGCTTCCTTAACTGAGCTAACGTTGCACTGGTGTGTTTCATCCAGGAACTGAACTAATTCTTTTTTATCAATTCCAGTATCCTTCGTATGAATTTCAATTCATGGTTATTCCATTTCTTTTGTTGCCGCCATTTTCCGACGCCATATTGATATTTTCCTGCACTGGTTGGCCCAGGGAATACTAACAAAGCGTGACTATAAGGATTAAGTTCATAAAAATATTCTCCAATCTCGACTGAATAATTTATGTTTTTTTTTTTTTGTGTGTGTGTATGTGTTTTTTTTTACGGCTTATTAAAATTTTGCAGATTTAAATAACAAGAAAATATTTATAAATTATAAGACTTTCTGGAAATAATAATGATTTACTGATAGGCCTTACTAATTTTTACCATAGTTAAGTGGAGAAGAGATAAATTCATAAGATTTCGAAGGATATTTGCACGTAAGTGAACATAATGACGCCGACAAGAATTGGAACTCCGATTTACAATTTTGAGGCGCTATCCATTGCACCACGCACGCAACGAAAATTACAGCCCCTGGTATTCCCAAGCGGTCACCTATCTAGGTACTGACCAGAATCGATGTTGCATAACTTCGGTGATCGTGCAGGAACCAGTGTTTTAACGTGATATATCCGTAAGCCGTAAGCCCGATTGAGTCAGGAAGCAGTTTGTTCAATGCCATATATGCATAGTGCAATGCTATATATGTATATCTAAGTATATATGCTGCGATTACCTGACAGTCGTCCAGTCAAAGTCACTCTAATTTCAAGGCTGACTAAGGGCTCATCTGAAAATGACATGGAGAATCACGGTTAAGGAAGAACTGATAAAAAAGAAAATCTAACTGGTTCTAATCCCACAAATCTGGAGGAATGATGCTTGATTGGACATTATTGTGTATTTTCTTGGAGAACTTAAAGAGTTCTGACCAGTTCCCATCATGCTTACTGGGTTTGAGAAAAACATCGAGAAAAATAAAACGAAAACAAAAACAAGTTTGATGCGTGGAAAAGCGTGATAAAAAATAACAGATAAAGATCCTCGTCATATAAAATCATTTTATAGTCAAGATATCCGGTGCGAACGACCCCTTTGACCCTCGTTATTCTATCGTTTTTGTTTTGCTTTTTAACCTACATTTATATACCATATAAATTAAATTATGCACAATTTATTAAACTAGCAGTAGAGCCCGGCGTTGCCCGGGGATGTAACAGTAAGAGATAGATCAAGTATCGACCATCATAAAGACTGAAAAATAAAATTGACAAAGATTATTGTTTAAGGTTGACGGACACGCATGTCCTTTTTTTACGAATTGGTCAAACCCAAACTCAAACAAAAACATTGTTTTCAATCGTTATGAGTCTACCGATTGAATAGAATTTTATTATAAACAATTGTCTTATAAATGGAATTTTTAAAGCATTATGAATGTAAAAATAAAGAAAAAAGTGTGCAAGACAATAAGAAACACTACCTGCCAAAAAAAGTGAAGTTTTGTTGAAATCGGTTGAAAAATGTAGGAAATTCGATCCCATATATAAACGAACACACACACACAAACAACCTGGGTTTTATAATAAGTATAACTCGATATGAGTTGTTCCCCTTTCATTCTGGCGACAGAATCGTGTTTTATCGTGTTTTCAAATTGATTTTGTGCAAAAACAATTGTGTTTTTCCAATTTTTGGCGCTGTCAGAACCACCGCAAAGGAATTTTACGTAGTAGTCCTGTGAAGTTTTGTTGAAATCGGTTGAAAAATATAGAAAATCCGATCCAATATATAAACGTACCGACACACACACACAATCTGCGTTTTATAATAAGTAAGATGATTAAAAGTTTTCGTTGAATTTGACATCATTCTGGACTCTTTTAAGAATAGTAATTGTTGGTTATTGGAATTCATTCCGTATACACCAATTATATACTTGGATATTAGCTCCTATTACTGTCGAGCACTGTCTATTCTATTCTTATAATATGGATAGAATCAATTTCGTAGTGATTTTATAACATACTTATGTTATAATTTTTTTATAAAAATAATTATATATATATATATATATATATATATATATATATATATCACATGGTTTGGTATAGTTTAAAATAAAATTCCTATTTTATATGAATAGTAGAACATGAAAATTGAGTTGTAGTAGAGGGAGAAGCCCCATGTCATTGGTGGGGAACAAATTTTAGCTTGGGGTCACGTATTATAGATTCGGTGAGAACCCACAAGACACTTGCACCGGTCCTGCGTCTGTACATATATGTCTGTGTCCCGGGTTTCACAGTCTATTCGTGCCACTAGTACGCAGGGTGATTATAAGGAGTGAAAGTGACAGAATAGACTGAATATAAGGAGGATTTAGAACAAAAGATGAAGAGGATTCAAGAAGATAGAAGATAGTAATTGACGATGCATTTAAATTTTGAAGATTGTATTCATTAAGGAAGCAAGTTAATGGAAGGGAGTTCGACAGGCTAGAATTGCGAGAAAAGGAAATATTGGAGTATCGGTTGCATTTAGCTTTTTAGATACATCGTATTTGTTTTCAATTGTTCTATATCTGTCTATATTTCTGAGATGAAATCTTATATACACTATTCACATTATTCGGACTATTGTCCTCATATGTGTCGCCATATTTATTACAACCTTTCGGCCGTTCAGTATCTGTCTATATTTCTGAGATCAGGTATTATGTACACTATTTACATTATTCGGACTATTGTCCTCATCTTTGTCGCCATATTTATTACAACGTTTCCCCTCTGAAAGTTTTCCACTGCCTCAAGGACACATGGCACAGTGGGTAAAGGCGTTAGTTAGATCCAATGACAGGACCCAAATAGTGTGAGTTCAATACCCGGTTAAGGCAGTGGAGAACTTTCAGAGGGGAATTAACAGAAGATAACTGATAACTGACATCCATCAAACATGGCACGTGGAACTAGAACAGTCTACACCAGTGAGCGAAATAAAGGGTTCAGTTTGACATCCCAACCACCTGAAGAAGGCTGGAGCGTACAACGGCCGAAACGTTGTAATTTTTATGGCGACAAAGATGAGGACAGTAGTCCGTTCAATTGTTCTAGTTGAAATGTTCACCTATATTGCATATGATCCATTATTGTGCCTAATTAGGTAACAATAAAATTTACATTTTATATGATTACTATCTTATGAAAATTGAGGTGGAGTAGAATGGTGGAATCCGTTTTATAGATTCACAGGAGGAGGTCCTTGTACCGACCCTGTATTAATCGCTTTTTATGATATTAGCAACATACAGCGAAAGAATGAAAATACATCCTCTACTCATTTCTGCAAGGAAGAAACTGAGCCTAACGTGTTGATATTAGTTACTGATTCAATTAAAACCGTGAAATATGCCTCAGATGCAATACTCAACATGCCAACAGATGCACGTGTGTATCACGTAGAAATGGAAGCACACATAAAAAAAATACACACAGATTCTCCTAAAGCTACGTTTAGCCTAAACCTCTGATTGCATGACATTTTGAAGCAATAAATTATATTTTTAAACTGAATTTAAAACATTTTTTTTTAATCCAAGAAGATTTTGTGCTATTTTAACCTCATTATAAATTTAAAATGTTTCAAATCTCAAAGTCTTCGAAACTTGAAAAACTCACGTCACGAAACCTCTGATTACATAACTGCTGGAAATCGTAATAGGTTCACATGTCGCAATTTTCCTCTGACCTTGTAAACTTAACAACGTTGAACCCATAATAGATTTCAATTTTGAATCTGAAGTTAACAACACTTTATCCTTCCTAGACATCATTACAACTTCGAAGCAATAATGACATTCAGTTGAGAGAAAATCTACCAAAAAGAATGATCTCATAAACAAACGAATAAAATCTGGAAGAATTATAGGATTTTAAGAGCACGAAGAATCTACAGCCACCAATACTTACCTGAAGAGGAAGTATATATAGTAAATACCTTTTTAAAAAATCCAATATCCTCATTATATCATACTAAACGTTAAGAGAAAGACATACACATTATACATCTTGAAAGAAGTTGATGACATTAATAACAACAGCAACAATATCAATGACAATAAATTAGATGAAAACAGACATTTAATACTAGCTACTAACACCTTAACACATTTTATTCAATCTTAACAATATTAAAATAATTGCAACCGCATTTAAAATTATTAAAAATATGATTTCTGATATATATATATATATATATATATATATATATATATATATATATATATATATATATATATAAAGTTCCTGTTTTATTCCTTGACACTTCTGAATTGATAATGCCAATATATTCTTGTTGATTGAAATTAGCTATTCGAATAAGGTAAATTTGGATTTTTATTCTATGTAATTTATATGCATCTTCATAATAAATGCATTGAGCTGTTTTGTTTTGTGGATCAGATAGGATTCACTTGGATTATATATCAACGGATTATTACCTATATATATATATATATGTATATATTTTTGTTTATACGTTATTCTTACAGATACTAATATTTAAGTAAATGGTCTGTTTCTAATAAACAGTGTTAACAACATTTACCGGGCTGAACAGAGCATTTACTTCAATATTTGTATATATATAAAAATATCGTATAAACAAAAAATATATTTAAATAATTGTCAGATTTAGTCCATTTCATAATATATATATATATAAAGTTGGAATGTCGAACTGAATCCTTTATTTCGCTCACTGGGGTACACTGTTCTGGTTCCATGTGCCATGTTTTTAATGGATGTCAGTTATCAGTTATCTCCTGTTACCTCCCCTCTCCAAGTTCTCCACTGCCTTAACGGGGTATTGAACTCACACTGTTTAGGTCTTGTGACTGGATCTAACCAACGCTTTCATTCACTGTGAGGACATCCGTGTATGAATTTCTGGGTATTATAAACCTTCAGCAACGTAATATAAATAGTGAAAAAAATGTCTCTTTATTAATATGCTTTTCTTCGGTGGTTTTGTTATCACATTGGTAGAATAAGAAGATATTAAAATTAAAATAAAGATTTCGTCCTCCGCATTCCTCTGTATGTTTGCTAACTGGTATTTTTCTGGTATGAGGATTCCTAATTTGTTGGCGATCAACCGTCATCCTTAGCCGGAGTGTATGGCCGGTTTGAAGAATATAATTTTCGTGACAACATTTGCATGTTATTATGTATATTAAATCCTCATTTTTAATTTTTAATTTGGATCCATCTTTGAAGTGAAATTCATGGCCTTCTAATAGGTAGCTGCATGCTCCGAAAATGGTTTGGATTAGGGTTATCCGAACACTAACCGGCAAAGGGGTCGGTTGCATCTTTTTACCTGAGGCTATATAATTGTATTCTACATTTTTACACTCGTTAGTGCCATTTTTAGTGATTTGGGTTGTTCTTTATATTTTATAATTGGGTATTTTTCTGATAGCTTTTTCATTTTTTTTATCCTTTAGCAGCATTGGTATGTGTATGTGTGTGTAGATTTCTGTGTTCTTTGAGTTGAAAGTTGACATAAGGGATGGCATTTTTCCTATTTGTCTCTCGGAATGGGTGAGTATTAATTTGTTTTGATTTTTC